TCTCCCACTTTGACGTTGCTCTGTACGCTTTTAAAGGTGCTAAACAAGCTCCGATTGTTGCATACGTGGATTTGAGCACCTGTATCAACTACCCATCTGTCTTCTGTAGGTGTAGTTGTGGCTTCAAAATCCTTGATTTTTGTTGACATAACGGTGTCAATTTTGACTGCGTTGGTTGTCAAGAAGCCAAAGGCTTCATCGTCGAGGGTTGTATTCGCTTGCTCTTTAGCAAGGGTCCCCCTTGGCCTTCTGCATATGCAGCTCGCTTCTTGTCGACAATTGCCTTCCATCTAGGATTAGCCTTCATGGCCTTCTCCCACTTCTGTTTCAATGCCGGTGAGGGCTGGTAATTAGCAGGCCTTCTATCTTCATAGATTTCCCAGCAGGCCCAAGGCATATGAACTCTCGATTTTACCCTGTCACATGGACATGGCCTTCTTTCTAGGCCATCATTCCTTGCCTCTATAGGCTTTGCTTCTTCATTGCCTTGCCATGTCGAGAAAGCAGCCTTTGAGATGCCTCTTTGCGCAGCCGGCCTGCCATGGGTAATCTTCCAGTGGGCTTTGTACCGAGTCATGATTTCGAAGAAAGGGATGTCCTGATTATCCTGTACTCTGAGAGCCCATGTTTCATAGAATCCAGGCGACATTATAGAGATTGCTTCAAGGAATTGATTCGTGGCATCCTCTGCTTCTGGCATCCTTGCCTTCTTACACGATTGGTAAAGCGATTCCCAGTTTAGAAGCCATTTCTCGATATCGGTGTTCCGATCTAGGCCTCTATCTAGGTTCCGCCACTGTTGACGGAGCTTAGTTTTGTATGTAGGATCGCTCTCTGGTGCAAATCGTTTGTGGAGATTGAGCATCAGCTCCAAAGGTGATGGTATATCAATGATAAAGGGCTGGTAGGGAGTATCAACTGACTGCCTAATTGCCACCGCCACTAGATCTAATGCCTGTAGTTTCGACTGATAGGCTCTGTTCTCTGCATCCCAATCTGCTTTTAGGGATAGCCTCACATTGAACCAGTGTTCTGGGTATTCTTTTATGGCATCTTTGACAGAGATGATCTCTTCAGGTGGTTCCAATTTAGGACGTTCTTCCTCCTTAAGAGACGGATTGCATTGATCCCATACTTTATATGCAACTGCAATTGCTTTAATATATGAGAGCCATGCATCCCATGATTCTGTATCCTTCAAAATGACGCGGGAGGAGGCCGCGGAGAGGCTTGACATAATATTCATTATTGTCGATTTTCGTCGATGAATCTGATCTTCTTCGAAGGAGATAGGGGTGCTTCGACGATTCAGGGGTTGACCGTTGTCAAAACCACTGTGAATCGGCGACAGCTAGGTAAAAGATGGTCTATATGTTGTAGACAGATCTTAATTGGAACGAAGCCGGGCTCATAACTGACAGAAATAGACGGATACGACAATGTATGGTAAATCTGACATATGTAAATTCTCTAACTAACTAAAATGACAAGATCCGCTCTTTTCCAATCTCGGCGGACATAGCTGATTAAGCAATGTATGTATTTTTGTATGGTACCGTTATCATGACGGTCCATTGATTTCCCGGTTTGTAAAGACCTGGTAATTTCAGCATGCATAAATGCATAGTACTTGACACAATTCAATCGCACCAAAGCTACAAGATTGGAGCGAGTGACACCAAGCGGGTGATACACTGAAGGATGATGTATACATATCACAATGTAGAGGCCTTGATGGGCAATAACCCTCTACATTGGAGAGTAAAATTGTTTACCCACAAAATAGAGGCAGTGAAGATCTCAACCATCTTTCGTCAATTGAACCCACATCGGAGATAAGACTCCCGAGGTCGGAGTTAAGAATGACATAACCCAAATCCGCCCGTGACCCAGGTCGGGACTTATCAATCAACTATGTATCGATAAGCACCGTATCTCATCTCACTACCACAGCAATACAACATACACTATGAATTCAAGGCCGCCTGATAATGGCAGAGAATCCCCAAGAGACTCAGAAGGGACCTGGCACCCTGCCCGCGAATGGCTTGAAGAGGATGAGCTTGATACCGATTACCACCCCGCGCTAGAGCCGTCCGAGAGCGATGGCGCATGGGAGGATGACATACCCAATGAAGATCAGCAAATGGGCTCGGGGATTGCAAGTGGTAGGACTGAATTTTAGGCCATCAAAACAGTATGCAAATGGACTGACCGCTTCTTTGTGATAGACAATACCCACATCAACATCGGAAGCATTCAAATCGAACTCACGGCGGACGATTCGGAGAGCGAGGACACGGAAAATCTGAATCAAGGACGCACCCGTGGTACGCTGTGCTATAAATCATCGAAGGATATCAGTACAATTGCTCATAAATTCTAGTACCAGCTTCCCGATTATTCGAGTTGCTTGCATCCAGTGGTTTACAACATATCCTCCAAGCCAACGGCTGGCCGACGGTAATGGATGAAGAGCAGGAGCAGCTGGAAAATGAAGAGGATGGGCTGAGCGACGAAGATTTCATGCCCATATTCCGAAATCGCCTCCGAGCCGGACGGTCCGCAGAAAGCGCTAAACTTCCACCGGTTCCTAACCCGGAGGGCAAGAAATTGATGAGCGAAGGTCTTTTCGGAACTGACCAATTCTACGGCGACCGGCTCAGACAGCGCAAGAAACACCTAGCGACAAGCCTAATGTGGCGAGAGCTAGGCATTGACACCGATGGAGTGCGGAAACGAGCCGGTCAATCTATCTCCCAGGTAGGCCAAGTGTATAGCCGGCACACGGAGATTATGATAGCGAGAAGGGCTAATGTATACGTTTGCCACCGACTAGGGCCTCATTCCAAGCTCGGTTGCGGACAAGATCATCCACTATGATACGCGAAGTTATTCAGGCCAGTTTTCTGATGACGGGAATTTCTTTTTCTGCTGCGCACAAGACTTCAAAGTTCGAATGTACGACACATCTAACCCGTACGACTGGAAATACTACAAAACCGTTGATTATCCCTTCGGCCAGTGGACTATCACCGATGCGACGTTGAGCCCCGACAACCGCTTCCTTGTCTACAGTTCAATACGAAGTCAGGCATACATGGCCACCACAGACCCAGAGGACGATTCAGATCCTATGGTTTTAGATTTATCTACTCCACCGGGCCAAAGAAGAAGACGGAGCTGGGGTGGTTCGCACTTCGGGGTATGTGAAGTAATGCTTTTATTGATATTTCAATGTTTAAACTGATCCATTTTTCATAGATCTGGTCTCTCCGTTTCTCTGGAGATGGACGCGAGGTTGTCGCCGGCACATCAGAAGATTCGGTCATTGTTTATGATCTAGAAACACGACAGCCAGTCCTAAACCTACGAGATCGGCATCAACATCATGTCAATGCTGTGTGTTACGGCGATACATCTTCGCCGCACATCCTATACTCTGGATCCGACGACACAACAATTCGGGTTTGGGACCGACGGTCAATGGGCGATGGGCGTGAAGCTGGTGCTTTTATGGGCCACACCGAGGGACTAACGTACGTTGACAGCAAAGGTGACGGCCGATACGTCTTATCAAATAGCAAAGACCAAACGATGAAGCTCTGGGATCTGCGGAAGATGATGACATCCGCTGACATCGAAAACATCGACCCCGTCGACTACACAACCGGCTTCGATTACCGCTTCGAGCAGTATCCAGACCAGTACCGCAGAAATGCCAAGGATGACTGCTCTGTTGTTACATATAGAGACCACCGAGTCCTTAAAACCTTGATTCGCTGTCACTTCTCGCCCCCAGGAAGTACAAACTCGCGCTACGTTTACAGTGGAAGTGAGGATGGCAAGGTTTATGTGTACAACTTGGACGCCACCCTAGCTGGCACCATCGACGTTGGTCAAGCGACACTTAACTCCCGACCGCGTGATCCAGATGCCTATGCTACAGCGTATGAGATGAGTGGGGAGATGCTGTGGAGAACTTGCGTGCGCGATGCAAGCTGGCACCCAAGTGCGCCGGTACTAGCAGGTAGGAACTATACTACGGAACGCTTGTTTTGGTCCGCATGGCTAACCCGAAGTTTAGCAACTTCCTGGAATGGCTGGGGCTTGTCTACTGGCACTTGTACTGTGCATTCATGGAATGCGGGTGCTAATAAAGATGAGGGAGATCCACCGGTTGGCAAAAGCTATAACGACAAACTACAATACATCCCTGAGTTCGACCAATACCGCGAGAATGCACCCCATGGTCGACCTCGGCGTCCATTGCGCAGTCGGCCAGTTCGTCGATGGGTTGGCGATGAAGAAGCAGAGGACACAGCATGGTAGGTAAAGGATGATAAGTCTTTTCGGTCGAACAAAAAGCATTCACAGTTGGCTTTTGATTCTGCACATCCTGGGTGTCTTTTATTAATGTATCTTTGCACAATACATACGCTGTCGTAGTCAAATTTCTTTTGACGAATGCAATATGTCATTTCGTCCTGTCCGCCACTGTAGATATGCTCCCGGGCTGTTCATAAGCTCGATACCAAGGAATTTAAGACGGGAATGGATGCATGAAGGGTGTGAATTAAGTAAAACAAAGACCCCTATTGATACAGGATGCGAAAAAAAGGTGGTATCTCATAGATAGCGATCATGGTCTGCCTCCTATCGCTGGCCAAAAAAAAGCGCCGAAGTGGCTGATAGGATCGCCACGGAAATTCAAAACATAAAAACGAAAAGTGGTTTGTAATGGAGTCAGGCTCGCAGTCCAGGTTGTTCGGGGAGTTCCGCAGGGTATGCCATGGTGTGTAGGCGATATGATAGAGCGGTGTCATTCAATGCCCAGGTGCCCAGGTTTGTCTGCAACCACCTGGGTAGGATTGCGCGATAACGCCTCTTATCGTTCTCCATCTCTTGCCATCTGCGGACTTTCCACAATAAACTCCTCTTCCATCACTCCTAATTTGTCAAATGGATCTGACCGTCTGTCTCCTGGAAGTGCCTCTCCCTTAGGCGCCACCGACCAGCACTTGGTTGACCGGGATATGAACTACAACCAGCGGGTTAGTATAACAATAGATGCAAGCTGCATTTGTGGACTAATATCCGATGTCTGGGTCACGTACTCAGCTTGACGAAGTAACCAATGGCTCCCTATCGGCGATGTCAGTGTTCCGTCTTGAATTGCGATTCAGGGATTGCCACAATGGTGCATACCATAACAAGGAATCCCATGCCAACGGCCTGGCTGATCTTGATGAATTCACGCTTGTCGGCTGTTGTAAAGTCAGCGTGTCATGAACTCCCCCAAATGACTGCCGATCAACATACGCTTAGTGCAGCGGCGAACAAATTGCGAACCCTCACGAATGAAGTCCTTGGGGATATCGGCAAGCTCTTGGAAAGTCTCAGACATGATGGGCGAAATGAAGAATTATGAAAAGATTAAGAGGAACAAGGGGATTAAATCGCGACAATTGAAGAAGAACAGGTGGTTTCTCCGGGAATGGCCAATTGGCCTCTATGGAGCCCGGATAACTGGAGAATATTTGTTCCAGCTCCAAGCTCCGCGATTCGTTCGCTCCATCCGCCTCCGCGCGTGATTACCTCGCATCTCCATCGCCCAAGCTACATCATACCAAGGCTGTTGGAAGACTAATGAACTCGGAGAATCTCTGTCACCCTGATTGACGAACCGTCGGCGCGCGCGTTCATACTTCCCCGGCTACCTTTCCCCTGTTTCCTGTTCACTCCTGTCTGACCTTATCCCCATACTCAATCGCTTTCTTGCTGCCTGTCTGTGGCAGCTTCTCTTCTCTTTATCCATCTCTCTACTCTGTATCCGAACATTCGCAGAACAAGTCTGGTTCCCTTCTCTGTACACCGCGTCTCCAACTCGCTTGTTTCTACCGGAAGCGATCTCTCGCTTCGGATTGTACGTATTGTCTGGCCTAATTTGTTTTCATGTCACGGCCTTTGCATGTTATCCCTCGGGGGAATGGCCAATTCCCGTCCGCTTAACCTGTGAGGACTTAGTCCGACGGGCTGTTGGAAACCATTACGGGAATCGCGCTACCCCTACACAGATTTCGGCTTCTTTTTTTCGTGATGTTATTCTTAATGCTAATTGGTGGCTTGTGTCTGCAGACATGCACTTTTCCTGATTTGCGGAAAGGATCAAGAAGAAGAAGAAGGGCCTGTATTATCGAACATCAGATACTCAGGCAATTTCAATCGTTTCTTTGAGGTCCAATCCCCTGAAATCGATACTAATTTAGTTCGCAATGGCTACCGACGACGATAACTTCGACATTGACATCTACGGCGATGGCACTTACAATGCTAATGACGCCGGAGATTTCAAGCAGGAGGACACTGAGCTCGTTCTGGATGCTCCCCAGAACCAGCCTGAGTCTAGCACTGACACCGTCAAGCATGAGAACGCCCCTACCACTCAGACCCAGCAGGCGAACAACAATGCAGCTCCATCGGCCCCTCAGCAGCAAGCCCCTCAGCAACAGACTCCCCACCATGGTCTGCCTGCACCCCCTCAGGGAGTCAAGCGAAAGGAATACGAGGACCAGTCCGTGGACCCCGATGCTACAACTGCGTTGTTGATCTCGGATCTATCCTGGTGGACTACCGATGACGATATCCGAGGCTGGGTGAACCAAGCCGGAGTCGAGAATCAACTTAAGGATGTGACCTTCAGCGAGCATAAAGTGAATGGCAAGAGCAAGGGGTAAGAACCTTATATACCCGGTCGCAAACAAAAGCAATTTCCAGTATTGATACTAACATTTGAAAACCCTAATAGTCAGGCGTTTGTTGAATTCACCACCGCGCAGGCAGCGACCGCGACTAAGCACAACATCGAGAGAAACGGTGGTCCCGCGCGTAAGCACACCGCGATCTACACCAGCCCCCACCAAAACCCCTTTAAGACTCTTCCCAAGGATACCCCGATGCGCAGTGCTGGCGGCCGCGGCGGCGGTGCTGCCCACAACACCGGTGGCAACCCCAACTACGGCATGAACAACCACACCGGTGGCGGATTCCGCGGTCGAGGCGGCTTCAACAACCGTGGCATGGGTGGTAACATGAACAACAACTTTAACAACCGCAACAACTTCAACCCGATGGGTGGATTCCAAGGTGGCGCGCCTAACCCCATGATGGGTGGCTTCCAGGGTGCCCCGATGGGCGGAATGAACTACGGATTCAACAACAACCGCGGCAACATGATGGGTGGTATGCGCGGTGCTGGTATGCGCGGCGGTCGTGGTGGAAACGCCATGGGCGGCGGTCCGAACATGATGGGTATGCCTGGTATGACTCCCCCATGGGTGGCATGGGTATGAACCCGATGGCTGGTATGAACCCTATGATGGGCGGTGGCATGGGTGGCGGCATGCCGATGCAAGGTAAGTGATTCTGATATAAATACTGGCTATTCTTTCAGTTCTGCGATGCTGATTATTTTCTAGGACAACAAGGTTTCCAGGGCCCAAACCCCGGATTCAATAATCAGGGCTACTACAACCCTACCAACCCTAACAACCAGCCCGGCGGCGCCGATGCAGGTTCCTGGAACCCCCACGGTGCAAAGCGCAGCCGTCAAGACTAAGAATATCTTGCGCGTCTCGGTTGGCTCTGGTGATGTTTTCCCAGAGCTTCTTGCTACTGACCACTGTGGTCTTTAGTCTGCGAGATTTCTTCAGATCGACGAGGCGTTGTTTTTCCCCATATTCTTTTTATGGTTGCTTTTTCATGCTCAGGGGGAATCATTGGGAATTATCGGAATGGAATGGCTGCAGAGAAATCCCGAACTAGCGAAGCGAGGTTGTTTTCAGATCATCGTACTAGTTCCGGTCCTGCTTGATGTTTTCGCTTTTTCTTCTTTTTTCTATGGTGTATTAGGATATCTCTTCTTTTTTTTCTTTCTATTTTCCATTTTCTAGGTACAGAGTACATGTATGTATGTACTCTGTACACCCATGTAATTAGCTATATACGTAGTCGAGATTTCGGGTAGAGGTAGACCGCCAAAAGGGGTACAGAGAAAGAAGACAAGGTGGACAATGTAAGATATAATACCCTCACACCCAACTGTTATTTGGGAAGTGGTATATACGAACGATCAAAATGTCTGTGGGTAGCTAGTACACCTGCTCAACCTATATGCGAGGCCATGCAATGCAATACAATACCCCTGCATCAAATACGGCTTTAGGCTCATATCTCTGACCAAATCGAGGTAGGGTACATCCCTGCTTGTGTAGAGAGCTCTCTTTTTTATATTTCCTGCCCAAGGCAGGTTACATACATGTAGTACAGACACCTGATGGAGGCAGTGCAAGAAGGCAAACACTAGGTACCTAAGGCACGGACCGATTCTTGGAAAATCTATACTGGCAGTTGTCTGGACCAAGACTGTTTTGTAACGCATAATCATACTTTCATTCCTAGTCCAATCTTGTGATTCGTGAAATGTCATCTAAGTAGTATGCCCCCAAACGCTTGACAACATTGTGTATCTCCTTTAAGTTAGATGCCCAATCGCTCATTATGCAGACTTGTACAGGAGGGGTTTTTGTAGAATAAAGCGCGATAATTCAACATTAGAAAAAAAGAAAAGAAAAAAAGAAAAGAAGAAAAGAAGAAGAAAAGCGGATATGAAAGAGATCGTAAAACATTAGGGGTATCAAACATAAGGGTAGAAGATTATGCACAGGGCATGAGTAGGCGTGATAGGGCGCTGCTCAAAAACAGAATAAACCCATCGCGACCCATCAGCAACCAAGAAAACCTGAAATTGTACACAACATACATAGAAATCAAGTCTAGTGCATGACTAGGGTCAGAAATTAGTTTCTGACACATGTCGGCATCTGTACTGCTGGTCCACTGGGCTAGTTTCGTTATAGCCGACCTGATGTCGAAGCTGAACTCCCAGTCCTGCACGTCCTCGGTCGAGTAGAGGAGCGGTGTAAACTTGGAGCCGGAAGATGACGTGGGAGTGAGCTCTTGGTCTGAATCGGTGCCAGACTCGGAATCCTCGTCGGAGGGGGGTTCGGATGTGATGGAATGAGTCCTCTGCTTCTTCGTGTTTGACTTTGCTGCCGATGCGCGAAGACTAAAAAGCTTCACGAAGACTTGCACTCTCGTGCGGAGGGGGTGACTTGATTCACGCGCCCGGGACATCTTGAAGGTCACCTCGACTCTTTCGTTGTCCGATAATTTGAGCTTTGCATGGGCCTTATAGTCTACAGTTGGGATGGTCACACATGGGCATCGGCAAGTAGATATTGGCTGGGGAGCTTCTAGGATGGGTGAAGATCCCTTGTCTCTGAAAACAAGGTCTGTGTATGAGCCTGGTGCCGGACCACCAGAGACTTTCGGTTTCGCTTGTATCATTCGTCCTTTAACGGAGAGCGGGTCAATGGGTGTGCTGAGTCCAACTCTGCGAAGTATCTCGATATCACTTTCGAAGATAAACGACTCTTGCACTTTGTCGTCGAAATCACTCAGTGGTGGGTGGCTTCCAACATCTATTGCCATCCCAATGACATGATCGTATGAGGGTGGGTCATCCATGAACTCGTTGGTCAGAGTTTCAAGTGATCGTGGATCGAAGGGATTGTAGTAAGGCAGTTGAGTAGGCATATTCTGAGGCATTGCAAAATGTGCCGATGATGCAGGGTTCAAGTAAGACTCGTTCAAAGTGACGATGGTAGAAGATGAATCTGAGAGGGCTTGCACAGGCATTCTCGAGGAAGACCCAACTTGGGTAGCACCCCTGGGCGTCTCACGACACATGTGGCAACTAAGAATAGATTTGCACATTGGACATTTGGCCGTGTCATGATTACACCGCCTGCAATTCTTTGAACTAGGGGCCTTCTCTTCTGTCGGTTTTGTCTGTTTGTCCGAGCGCTTACGCTTGGTCGAATGATCGGCTCGTGACGATCCGGGATTCTGTGGTGGCTGTAGATGTTTGGGCTGCCCGCTGGCTTTGGGGAGGTGAGGCCTAGGCCCACGAGATGTGCTAGGCAAGTTGTCGATTGAACTTTGTTCAATGGCATCACTAACATTTCGAGGACGGTTGCTGTTGAACTGCTCGTCGGAAACTGAGGGTGATATGGGACCAGGGTGCATATTGCTCCTACCCCTGAAGCCTTCGAAGCTTGTACCGAAATAAGATGGACCCCCAGTTCTGTCGTTTGTTCGGTTATACTGCGATTCTCCGTTCAAATTGCTGGGACCGGCCGAAGGCGGGCCATGGCCATGGCTGTGACCATTGCCGTTTCCGCCGTCATTGTCGCCATGGTGAGACCGATCGCCGCTGGCCGAGACACCCGCCGAACGAGAGGAAATGAGACAGTGGGTCTTGATGTGCTCGTAATAGACAGACCAAGAAGGTGTCACCTTGGAGCAAAAGGGACAGTCGGCTGGAGGGGCATATCTCACCCGAGTTGCTTCCACCTCAACCGAGAGCAGACCGGATCTCTTGTGTTTGCGAAGAAGATGGTCATGCATTCTATCTCGCCGGAGGAGGACCGTGGGGCAGTGCGGCTCACTACAGCGCCACTCGCAGTCGAGTATACCATGGCCAGTCAAATGTCTCTTGAATGTACCAAAAGTTGGAAACGTTGTTCTTTCCCTCCTAGGATCACATTGCCAACATCGGAACATTTTTTGGCCTCGTCCTGAAGACTCGGTTGGTGAAACGGGAGGTGCGGGAATCTTTGTGCGATAGAAAATTAACATCGCTTCAAGGGTCTGCATGCCTTGTGAGATTTGATCATGACCACATGGCTGGTTATACATGAGATCCCAGTAGGTGCGAAAGGCCAAGTGTATGGCATCATCCGAAGGTTGCAGAGACAACGGTGAGGAATTCGGAATTCCTAGCGTGGCCCGATCAAACACTCCTGGCGGATGAGCAGTGCTCTCACTCCTTGTGTCATCTTCTGGTCGTTGGGTGATGATTGAACTGCTTAGATCAAGTGGTAGGTCCTGAGGGATATTTTCATCTATCTTGGACCACACGGTCATGCCATCCAGATCACCTTCATATCGCTGTGGACGTTCTGGCATTTGGGTAATGGGCTCGGCGTCGAACGAATCAGATGGAAAGGCCTCCGAACTCGTAAGGCTTGTGACATCGGCAGAGGAATGTGTTGCTGTATGATAATATGCATAACTCTGCTTAAGCGTCAGTACCTTGGAGCTGCAATCACTGATGAAAACCCACTTCGGACGAGGTAAAAGAGCCAGGGTGTACAACCCACTCCGGTATCTCATCGTTCTCTTCATTATTGTAAGTAAAGTCCATCGCAGTGAACAGGTCTTGAGAAGGTAAACGATGTCAGAGAATAGAGGATAGCTCTTAAACGTGGGCGGACAGGTCTCCAAGGTTGGGAACGTAAATGTAAATGATGTCAGAGCAAAGAGAACGGTGTTTTGGGCTTAAGTAAAAATAAAAAAAAAGGTTGGTTAATCGGCGAGAAGAGCACTGGAGGAGAGTCCTTTTCCTCCTTAAATAATATTGGACCCCCGGTCTGCGCCCCCCCTTCCTCCATTGCCTGGGTAAAGAGGAGGAGGTAGACGAAAAAAAAAAGAATCTAAAAAATAGAAAACCCAAATAGGGAAGAGGGGGGGGAAGAAGTCAGATTTTGGGTAGAAACGATCTCTCCGCCCAAGAACAGAACCCTTCCCTTGGTTCTGGGGGAAGAACGAGGGAGGAAGTTTCCAGAACGTCGGACTTCGTACAATACTGTAATTTGGCCCACGCGAAACCGATTACCAGTGAGGCGGCCACCTTGCTTCGTGTATGCGAACTGGCTAGCTTAAAAAACAAGGCAACGAATCGTCAGGATTTCTCCCTACAATTCAAAGCTGTTGGTGTAAAACTGTGAATGTTTCGGCCTATGAGGGCAAATATTTATCCTAACTCGCTAAAAAGCAAAAGAAATGTAATCCTTACAGTATATTGGGGTTACAACTCTGACAATTTTACATACTTCGAACATTCGCGGGGAAGGGAGGCAGTGCATCTAAAGTGGTAAATAGAAAGTAGTATATAGTACATAGGGGGTTTTTTTTTTTTCATCTTATTAGCACCCACAGTGTGGCTTTGGTTAGCGCAGATCATCGGCGAATCTACGGGTTTCTACAGGGTCTGCAGTGAAATGAGTTTTGGAGAAGACCGTGACGTAGGTATCGACTAGGATTGCTCGAATATAACTAGTTAAGCGATCATGTAGTGGATGGAATAAGACGAAAGAACTACCAAGAGAAACGAGATTCAATGGGATTGAGATGATCATGGACAACACCGGGTATAACTGAAGGGAACAAAATAAAATAATGAATACAAACAAAAATATTTTGTAGGGGGCAATATTGAGTATGCAGGTAGACCAACCCCAGTCATCCATTGACCAACAATGAATGGCAATTGGGATTATGAAACCCAGACGAAACCAAAACCACCAAATGAACCTTAGTTTTACTCGTTATCGGTTTCTCGGAGTTAACAGCAAAAGATCGGGATATCTCCAGCCAAACGGTTAATGTCTCCGGGAGTATCGATTCAGCCTCGAGAAGCTCGGATGTTTGGGTTCCGTGTCCTTAGGTAGGAGACACAAATTATGTAAAAAATGCAATGCAATAAGAGGCTTGAAAATGATATTTGAGGAAGCATATAACAGAAATCATCCACCAATCATACCCGAATCCAAATGACCATGGCATCTCCGTACAACAGAGGGATCATTGTGATCCTATGGATCCTATAACGCACGGACTTTGGGATTGCCGGGACAGATACTAAGGGACAAGCCGGGCGAACACATAACGTTTATCGTTTTAGAACCCCCGGGCAAGTTTTCTAGTATTTTGTTGGTAGGGCAAGAGAGGGGAAGGTAGGGGCGAGAGACATAATGAATTAAAATACTGGAATGCAACCATCAATGCCTCTGTAAGTGAAGCGAAACTTAAGATTTGACAGCTTTGTCATGGCAAATGGGATTAGAAAGCTCATGAACAGGTGATTTGAAAAGTAACCATGGGACCTGCATGATTATTACCGTTACCGGAGGATCAGGATAAATTAACCGCCTCCTCTTCACGTATGTAAATGGCTAGATGTGCACAGTGTTTTAATTAAGGTCATGTTCAGAGGTCCATTATTCCAAACGGCGAGCCCGAACTCCTTTCGTTCCTGTACTAATCAACCCGTACTTGCTCGGGCTCGGATGACTATCATCCTGGATGGTACTTTTGTTTTTTGCCCAGAACTCCTATGATACCTGGGCAATTTCTGGTGATATTCGCCACTAAAAACCCTCGCTTTGGCCCTTCACCAGACATTTATTTTTTCGTTGGTTATTTAGAGGTTGTCTTGAGACTTATGCTAATATTAAAATGGGCCGCGTAGAGGCGGTGGATATTAAGGAAACAGATACTTATTATTTGGATACGAACAAAGATGTCATAAATATGGATGGAGGGGGAGAGAGAGCGAAGTGTTGTTCATTGTACTACACAGGGCGGAGTACTCTGTCCCCATAGAGTTACTAATTATTTGGATCGGGCGGGGAACGGGATAGACCGATAGCCTCATTCTACGTCTGTACCATGGATCATCCAAAGTTTGAATGCAATGTTGGACGACACTTTTGACTTGTTTGAGAGGAATTTTGACCAAGATGAGATACCTATCTCGTACTGTTTGCTTGGTGTGACATAATGGTACCCATGTACGGAGTAACAAATTCTGCAATACGTCATGTATTGCCCGATTATAATCGCCTTGTCTAGATCTAGGAAGAAAATAACGGAAAAAAGAATGCAAATGTAAGTATCATTTATCTATACCGGTACGACCCATAAATTCGCCCTTGTACTTGAAAAAAAAAAGAGAGAAAGAGAGAACAAAATACAGACAAAAAGAGAATTAAACAAAAATGATAAGCAAGACAGTTCTGGAGTCCCATTCCCCAAACCGTTAGTCAATCTACCCTAATAAGTAGCGCCCCAAACTAGGATGATGAAACAAAGCTCCGATCTAGTTTGCCACCGAACTCCTCCGGAAACCGTAGTACAATGATTTGATACAAATCCCAATTTCAACGAATTGGGATAACCAAAGTCTAACGTTGGGGGAAATAGGCGGCTTTGGCCGATGACCACGAATCCGACGAGATGGGAGCATTCGCCCATGCCTCAAGCATAGATGCGGTTCCATTCTGCAACTCGGGATTGGAGGTGAACAAAGAAGTCTGCGAGGCACCATTGTGGCCGTGGGAAGTAGTGCCTTGGGTAGTGGGGCCGGAGGTTTTGGTCGTGAGGAAGTCAGACGACGAGTCTCTGAGAGGAAGTCAAGGTTAGCAGGTAAAACAAAAAAAAAGCAATTATGTTCTCGGATATCATCAATGATAAGTGTAAAATTAGGGGTATTGGGGGAAGTGCGGGTATTGACGGTATATGCTACCTATCAAGCTAGCTGGCTTACTTGTTGGAACTCATATTGGCGGTTAATGGCGGAATGGTTTTGAAAGCGGCGGTGAGCTCGACTTTGAGGGAGGAGGTAATAAAGTGGATTGATAGGACTAGCAGCTAAGGAAGCTACTCAATGGCAATGCAAGAGAGACTAATTTAATGATTGACGGTGCAGATTCCCGTGAAGTAGTCAAGGCGGGAGCTCTGAATTTGAAGAGTGTGAATTTGATGGCTTTTCAGCAGAGAGGAAAACATATCTTATAAGCCAGAATGGACTCGGGTTTTTGTTGATCATATCGCTGCCTACGAAGGGAACCTGGGTGTAAACCCTGGGCTTAGGAGTTTTGGGTGCAAGGCAGAGCAGCGACGGTGACAATGGCGTCAAAAGAAATACGTTGGGAGATCTACGATCGGATTGCTAGGTTCTATAAGGAGAAATATTTGAGGACATTTTTAGAAATCAGCAAAGCTGTGACCGGTATACTAGAGCGAGAAGCTTAGAAGCTAACACGGCTTCTCTCTCTTTTGTCTGTCTCTGTCTCTTTCTCCTGTTCTCTAAAAACAGAAATAAAAAAAAGGGGGAGTCACATAGAGAAATCAGTTCTTACATAAATCCACCAATAGCACACAAGAAATAGTAGCTCGCTTGACTATTCCAGTCTGCCCTGGGCGTGTACCGGGCGAAAGTCATCTGTCTATAGAGTATGTAGCTAGTAGACTACTAGGTTTATCATTGTACCCTACCGATCTTCACTACCCGGGCTACGTTCCTGCGCCTATCAGACGTGACACATGAATTTTATGCTTCTCGGCAGTGGCTTTTGAATCACAATTCAATTCAAGAAACGTACAACCCGGCTCGCACAATACCTACTATGCACATCCCATTTAAGGCTAGATTTCGGCATGCACTGTGATTTATAGAGTTCAGTCCGTTCCGGAGTAGTGTGGCTGTGCTTAGCCAATCAATCCCATAGTAATTTCATCTACAGATGATTGAGAATATTTTGTCTATGCAATTCTGGGTGTATGTTGCGCACCCATACTCACCCAAACACCCAAAACTTACCTTAACATTCGCCTTTACCACTCTACATCAAATAAATTCATAACCCCGTCCTATGGGTGCTTGATAGGGTGTGTGGAAAGTGGCGGTGTAGGAGTATTCAGTGTTCACACCCGAGCAATTCCATCACACCATTTTCAATGCAATCTACGTCAGAAAGTCATAGTTCGAGGATCTAGACACTGACATGTTCCATCAGAAAGGGGATACCAAGTATGCGACCAGTCGATCTGCAAACCCGTGGGAGTAGTTTGTCACCGCTTATACGTTGCGATGTTAAAGTCAAGGTGGATGGTTCGAGTCTAGGCTGTGCGAGATAGGCTTCATGGAGTGTGGATCGCGGAGAATTTACCCTATGAAAAGAGAGACCCACGTTCGAGAAACATCCCTTATTATTCCTATATTGCTTGGAATATGACTGTTCATATCACATATTCCTAGGAAGAAAGTCATCGGGGCGCAGTTTATGCTACTCCTAGAACCATTGCTTCGAACCCGGGCTCTGAAGTAAAGAGCCCGGGTTCTAAGAGTCCCAGGTATTTTCTTGTGTTTCAGAAAATCAAAAATTCTAGGCGTATATGCAATATTTAGTTTATGATTGAAGGATCTAAGCCACAAAGATCTTTGAATCTAGATAAAAGACCACAATCTAGGCTGATCTAGATACAATAACAAAATATGTGATACATAATATTATTCTCTCCACTTCACACCCCTCTTTACGTCATGCAGCGTCCGAAACAAAACGGGGTGTTTGTGTATTCGAGTATCGCAGCTAAACTTCTGGAACCTTTCCGGGTTGGGCATATTACACGATTATGGCAACCGGGCACAAAAATACTAAAGGTATCCATTAATATACCTCTTAATACGCTCGCCCCAGGTGCGCCCGTAAGGTAAGGACATAAACCAAGCCAATCACCAATCGAGAATATACCACCGGGCGCTTCGATCAGAAGATAGAGAGTGATACAAGGGTGTAAAGTATTTCCCGTAAGCTCAAAGTGGCCGATAGACAAAATCTGAGTCTGGTATAGCTCTTCTTCACTAGACAGGGACATAGTATAGTCTAACGTCTAGAACTGGCTAGAGGCAGACCGACCATAGCTGAAGGCAGGGGTGCAATACGAGAATCCCCTACCACTTGCCAAATGTCGGTCTGTGACTTTTTGGTGTTTGCTGATCGGATACCTCCCCTACACTATGCTAAGGTAAGATTTTTTTGTTGAGCAAGGTAACATCGGCAAAGTAGGAAAGCAGAAACCGAGGAAAATGGGTGACTTGTTCGGGTACAGTCGTTGCCTGGGTATAACAAGCTTGGTATTATGATGCCCAACTTGTACCGAGGCAAAATTTTTGTCAAAGCTATAGCTTGACAGAGCTTATATCCTTGGAGTGGCGGTGCAATTACTGCGCCTACGTAGCTATTCTCCAGTATCTGCAATGCAGTGGCCCTTGCAGTGAAGAAAAAGTACGTATTGGAGTATCGATGTCATAGTTCTGGGCCTTTCTTTCTTTTTTTTTTGCTCTGCCACTTTTGCTCGGGTGGCAAAAAAGTAGAGCGCCCAATGCCCAAGGAGCTTCGCCCCGGAAACCCAAATCCCGGGCAAACAGCCAATTGACGAAATATTTCCACCTTTCGTCGATGAGGTCGGAGTAGGTCGGAGTAGAGACAATTGTTCAAATTAATATGTAGTCCAAATCGTTTGCTGTACACGTGTAGGTAGCCCGTGATTATGATGTCGTACCCGCACATTCGCAGATTGAACTCGTACCTAGTGAGATATAGTCAGTATATTGTGCGTATACCTCCATCTCCACCTTGCAATTGCCTAACAAGACGGTCAGTGCTTAACACAGACACCTATCCGTAGTGTTAAATGATGGCCGAGAAATCCGATGTATAGCAGATGGCGAAGTCATCCCCCACAACAGCAGTATCAATCATCATCCGCAATCATCAAAACTTGTAGCCTTTAGATCTAGTTAACGAGAATAATCATTAGGAATTGACGTATGGACCGTGTTAGATTAGAGGGAGTGGCTCTGAGATGGGGCTGCAGATCAAGGCCAAGAGCAAAAGCAGCACTACGAACACAAAGTCTAGAACAGTAAATCGAACATGCAGGAGTTATGCCGAACCGGGAAAAATGTAGACATGAACTCGGAAATTTTTTGATTTTGTTTCATTCAGGGGAATCTATGCACAGGCGAGAGATGTGCCAGGGCATCCGAAACCCTTCGCGCTTCGTCTCATGTATCAAAGTCCATTTCAGTCTAGGCAAAAATGGAGTGAAAACCCAGTAAACACCTAACAACCGCACACACCGTTCCAATTCGATAGCGAGCCCTTTAAATGTGGGTATCGTAGGCGATGGGGACGACGGTCTCGGGCTTGTTGCCAGCCTGCTTGACGAAGTGGGCCTCACGGGGACCAACGGCCTGACGCTTCAGGTGGACGTGGACACCCTTCTCCTTGGCCTCGCGCTTCTTGATGGCGTTCTCCTTGACACGCTTGATGAAGTCCTCGCGGGAGCGGGAGTGCTGGACGTGCTCAATGCGGACGCTGATACGCTTCTCGAGGTAGCGGTTGTCGACCTTCTTGTAGAGGATGACACCGACGGCGGACTTGGTGACGTTGTAGACGACACCGGTCTTACCGTGGTAGACCTTGTGGGGCATACTGTTCAACTGTTAGATTTTCGTCCTCTCTTTCCGGGATTCGCATTGCCCATGTTTTATGATCGCAGTGGGCGGTCGGGCGAGAGTGCTGGGAGGAAGTTTCGGAATTTTACTGACCCCTTCTGGACGGCACCGTTGACCTTGAGGTCGACAATATCACCAACACTATAAAAAAATATCCGTTAGATTTCAATTCTTGTCGTTTGTTCGAGGTTCGAGGGTTTTTGAGCGTACCGGTAGGTCTTCATGTAGGTAGAGAGACGGATCATACCGGCCTCCTTGAAGCCACGGCTGAAGGCATACTGTTCGTCGTCTCGTTAGCACTTATCCTCCCTGCGGCCCAGAGGCGTATCCAGTTGATCCAAATTGTCCTCCGAGTATGAAAAAAAGACGTATGTCGCAAAGGGAATCAAAACGTACCCGAGTGCCGGCGCGCAGACCGTACGAGTGAGGCATGACGGCGGTGTTGTGGTTTGCTGGTGGTTAATTGTCGACGGGGGCCTTCAACACGAAAAACTAGAGTGTCGGATAACAATTTGTGGGATTGGCATGACATAATCATGTCTACCCTCGCTAAAGCCACGCTACGCCTCTTTCGGATTATTCGATCTATTTTCTTAATTGGGGTTAGCGTAATAATCAACCTTCAGCCAATCAAAGCTTGAATTTCCCCGAGCCTTTCATTTTTCTCTCGAGGTCTACTTCGAGGTGATTGTATAAGCATCCCATGCTTCTTCTTCCCCTCCTTTTCTGTATTTATGTCAATCCTTCGGCTACTGCCACATTCATGTACTTTTGAACTGAATTTTATTCCATGTTAGTGCTCCTAATAATTCATAGTGTGACTGGCACATAGTAGCCATGAATCATCAAAAACGGCGAGCGTGCAGGTGGTAGTACCGGTGCTGGCGGGGGAAATTATAGCGTTCTTGAATCAAACGAAAAATTCTGCTATTGCTAGGCCTTGAAATCAATATTTTCTTCGATTTCCATGATTTGACTCGTGATTTCCAACCCTCTTTCCCGACAAATTTGGCGTCTGATATCCTCAGCCATACATATCAGACAAACATCTAGTGATGTCCACGCTCGCTCGGTCTCAAAGTTATGGTTCTGAATTTCAGGGGATCAAGTCTTAAGAGATACTCAACTACGATATACACACTTAAGCCCTACATGTCTATGGACGTCAGCTGGCGATACTGTAGAGTGAACTGACACGGCAACAACAGTATTATCGTGGCACTGGAATCTGAATGACAACCATCCAGCAGCCAGC